ATAACCAAAAATTCACCCCCTCTTTTCGGGTATAAATCGAAAAAAATCGATCGTACAAAAAAAGCAGAATTGTAGGAAATTTAATTTTAAATAACTTTTGTAAAAACTATTTTCCGTGTAAAATTGAAAATAAATGAGTTATTCAAGATACAAAAAATAACCCTTTAAATCAAGCTGGCGGAGGTAACGACAACTTTGGAATCCCAACTTTTTGAATTTAGACTACCACAGACCCCCTCCAACGAATTCCGAAGGAAAATTGCTGCTTCGAATTTTTCAGAATCTCAAGCCTGTTCTTCACCTAATCCGATTGGGCTACATGTGTATCATTGATAAAAGCTGTAAACGATTGGTACCAATTGGAAGAATAATAATAATAATATTGTGCATGAATTTTAACGCATTTCTTTATATTTAAGTTATCACTAATTGCTTTAAAGTGCTTTAATTGCTGTAAATTCACAGTAACCGAAATTAAACCACCACAGTTTCCTGGAATACCGCTTATTATTGTCATTCCACGACCCTCTCTCCGACGTTAATTTGAATTAAAGTTTAGAACTAGTCGAGGTACAACTATTAGGAAAGCAACATTACACTCATCACAAGCTCCTAACAGAGAAACTTTATGGAGTAACCACCTACTAAAATTTTAGCCTTGGCTGAAAATCGCGGGCAGCAGAGCTTGTACTCGTTGTATGTAGTATGGGTAAAGCAGAGAAACTTTCAAAACTCTCCAAACAGTATTTGCACTTACTTGAAGCTGTTGTGTAATTTTCCTGGTACTAGTTGAAGGATTTTCTTCTATCTCCTGTAGTATAGCTTCTTATAGCTCAGGCGTTGTTACTGTTTGTGGTCTACTAGGAACTACCCGATTATGCTCAAAACTACCGGTTTCACTCAATCTGGCATATATCTTTCTAAACGTTTTAGCACATGGCGTTACCCTATTCGGATCACGTTGCTGATAAATTATTCTAGCTTCCGCTGAATTCCCATTTGCTAAGCCATAAATGTTAGTAAAGTTATTCATTTTAATGTCTGACATACAAATAAATAGGCAATTGGCGATTAGTAAAATGTCAAACAAGTACCTGGGAAAAATTTTTGTTGTACATTGTTCAAAGAGATTAAAAATGAAAAAGATTAAAAAAATTTACTGTCTTTGTTGCTTTTTCTTCCAAATCGAACATTAAAAACAGAACAGTGGCGTAACTCGTTTTTCCTTCCGTATTTTTCAGCGATTAGTTTGATTAAAATATCTTAAGTGGTTTTGGAAATATTTAAAATATTGTATTTTTTTTATGAAACTTTCACACCCTGTATTTCTGTAACGAAGCATTTTTGAAACATAGTGTATATGACAAAAATACATTTATTTTAGCTCCAGAATAAGCTTCTGAAGTTATGTACCGTACTTATCGAACACCCTGTATATTGTTTTTAGATAATTTGGTTTCGACATTTTGTTCTATATTTTGTTTTCTATATTTAATTTGTCTATATTTTGTTTTTCTATTTTTTTTTTCATATTATTCATTTTGTTTTTCGATATTTAATTTTTCGACATTTTGTTATTTCGCCCCACCTTAGTTAATAAGTACTTCATAAGTTCTTACATGCTTTAAACATAATTTATTTTTCCACATAACTACCTTCAACATTTTTATTCACTCCACAAAATTATTTTAGAAAGTTTTTCATGTGTCAAATATCCATGTACAAAAATCGCACCTTGACAGTAAAATAAAATTTGTATAACTTGTCATTTATATAGTTTACTAATTGTGATCTATTGTTATACTGGTAAATTACATAGTATTTAAAATCAGTGTTGCCAACCTTGAAGTAAGCTTTTCCCCCCCATTTACCTTAAAAATGTTCACTTTTATGAAACTCTTATTGTTAAAAATATCGGTTTTATACCAGAAATACAAGCATGTACATATTTTCAAAAATATTTATATATATTTATTAAAAAAAAAGCATAAAACGTATAACCTAAAAAACATAAATTCTTTAACAAAACTTTAAAAAACCTCAAAGAATTAACAATTTTAATTTAATTTATTTTTAAAATCATACATTTTACACATTTTGACTGTAGTCAAAAATTCCTGTTTTGTGTTAACTTTGTTCCATTTTCCTTTTTCTGTTGAAAATTCCCACAAAACGGAAATTTCCCTCAGGTTGACAACACTGTTTAAAATTAAAGTAAGACAACTAATACTTATCTTCTTATTTTTTATTAAGTCTGTCATGCTGAATTAAATGCCATCATGAACAAAAACGCAGCCGATATAAAAGATTGTACAATTTACGTGACCTATTTCCCTTGCAATGAATGCGCCAAGGTTATTTGCCAATCTGGTATAAAGGAAGTTGTATATTTATCAGATGCTCCCAAAAAAAATTGGTACGTGAAGATATTATGTTCCAAAAAGATGTTCGACAATGTTGGTGTGACACATAGGTAAGATATAAGCTGTTACTACACCGCTGAAAGTACCAAGTTTAATTTAATAAATAGGGTAAGTCCGGGATAGATGCCCCACATTTTCTATTTTACAGAAAAAATATTATATACATAAATGAAAATCATTGTGAGTAAATAAAAATATATATTTTATAACACTACTAATATAATTTATACAGGGTGTTATTGAAATACACGTACATATTAAAATGGGGAATAGTATGTACGATATGTACGATTGGCACCAATTTTAACTTCAAATTCTAAAATTTAAATATTGGGGAAGAGTCCCCTTTTCCGACCTACTAGTTTCCATATTTAAAGAAGTAAAATAAATCGAAATTGAACTTACCCATAGAAATTGCACTGTTGCCGTAGCAAAACCAATTAATTCAAAATAAAGTTTATTACAGTAATTGTTCAAAATGCCGTCCATTATTATTTACACACACTTGCAATCGTCTTTCCAAAGAACTTTGAACATTAGAAATTAGTCTTGGATTTTGTCGTAGTTCCTCGGCTACCGCATTAACTTTATTGGTTAATTGTTCAACACTATTAATAGGTTCATTATAAACCAGTTGTTTCATGTGACCCCACAAAAAGAAATCGCATGGATTTAAGTCCGGAGATCTCGGAGGCCACTTAGTAGGTCCATTTCTGCCTATCCACTTTTGAGGAAATCTAATGTTCAAAAACTGCCGTACGTTTAAATCAAAGTGAGGAGGAGCGCCATCTAGTAGGTACCACATCCGTTGCCTTAATTGTAACGGTATCTCTTCTAGGAGTACTGGCAAAATATCTTCTAAAAAGTGGAGATATCCTGGCCCATTTAATCTGTTCGGGAGAACATAAGGCCCGATTAAATACTGATCTATTATGCCAGCCCAAACATTTATTGAAAATTTTCTTTGATGCCCAGTTTCCCTAATGGTGTGAGGATTTTCATCACTCCAAATATGCGTATTGTGCATATTGAACACGCCATCACGAGTGAATGAAGCCTCGTCAGTATACAATAATATTTTTAGAAAATCAGGAATATTAACACATTTTTGAATCATCCATTCACAAAACTCCACTCTCTTTTCTTTATCACCTGGATATAAGGCCTGGACTTTTTGGATGTGATAAGGATGTAAACCTTGTTCTTTAAGTGTCCGCCACACAACAAATGAGGACACTCCAATTTCAAGACCTAGTCTTCTACAACTTAAGGCCGGTTTTCAACAGCTTCCAATATTTCTTCTTCGGCCGCCAATGTTCTTTGTGTTCTTGTTCTCCCTCGATCTGCATTGACACTCTCAAATTTTCCATGGTCTCTTAGATGCTGAACAGTTGAAATAAACGTACGACAGTCCGGAATTCTCCGATTTGGAAACCGTTCGCGATACAGGATTTGTGCTTGCCAAGAATTTTCTCCAGCTGCCCCATAAACCAGCACTATATCCGTTAGTTCAATATTCGTAAATAGTGGCATCGTAAAAAAATATTTAAAAGTAATCGTAACAACACTTTTTACCAACTTGGAAATGACGCGCTCGTGTTAGCCAGATTCGTAAATCAACTAAAATTTTAATAATCTATAGTTTCAAAAATGTATAGTTTAAAAACAATCATTTATCAAATATTCTAGTTTTTTGATAACGAGGGTAGTAAAAACCAGTCTTCGGAAATAGAAATTAATTCGAAAATCTTGGCAACATGGTTATTTCTTACAAGACTAGTTTTCTTATCATCTGACAAAAACTTGCATATAAATTACTGTTGATGTTTGAAATAGGTAAATAAACCTAATTTATATAGGTCATCCTCAACATATCAGTGAAGTACGTTTGTTTTAGAATTAATTTTCAAAAATTAATAATTCCCTTAATAAGGGGTATTTTTAAAAAATAATATTTTTCTACATTCAGTGGGGATCTGCGCAATACCCAGTTTTAATATGTACGTGTATTTCAATAACACCCTGTATATATTTCGAATGTCTTTAAACTGTTCATTATTTATCTTCACTGTCCATATATCTAGTGACTTCCGCTTAGTGATATGGGATGTTCATCCATGTTTTGTATTCGATGGTCGATGTTTTGCCATCGATGTTGATAGCACCAGATATCGATGTTATCATCGATGTTTTTCTTAAAACATCGAACGAAATTCGTACATCGAAAACTGATTGGGTCAAAGTATGTGGGTTGAGTTGATTTTATATATTCTTAAAAAAAATGAAGAATGTTATGCATTGGGTAGTGGTAGGCCGTAAGCAGGCAATGAAAAAGAAGAATAATAATTAGTGGCTGTATATTCGAACGAAAAGTGTACATTAAATACTGTGGAAGCTAAACCCAAACAAAAAGAAGAAGAACAATACTGTGTTTTTAAAAATTATTTGTCTAATATGCATGTTATTTATTATTTAGTTGTTTCATTTAAGACTTATTAATAGGTGTAGGTATCTGGTATGTTAAACTAAAGGTATGAAAATTTATAGGTAGCAAGTAATTTTTTATTATGATTTTAGTGAGTACAAAAGGTAAGATACCTCCGAAAAGTAACGTATGGAAATATTTTGATAAAACAAATAAGGAATACTCCATTTGTAATTTGTGTAATAAGAAAATTAAGACTTGTGGAAACACGTCAAATCTAAGATGTCACATTAAATCTATACATAATAAAGAAGTATTTAAAGTGCAATCTCCTCCACAGGATGTTGGCGATCAACAAAGCCGTCAAAGTGACAGTGAATCTGCTGTTACTGCTGATAGTAGCAATGTAGTATCTAGATCTAGTTTTTGCTCTTTAGCCTCAACCTCAAGTACAACTAATAATCTTGAAATCGATCCTGATGAAAATACTAATTTAATATGCAGCGAAATAAGTAAAGAAGGAAGTAAAAGAAAAGCGAAATTGCAGAGTTTTAAGCGACAGTGCACAGTAAAGGAAACTTTTGCGAATTTCTCGTCTTATAGAGAGGGAGGAAACAAATATAATAAAATTACAAATAATATATTATATATGATTTGTTGTAATTACCAACCAATGTCATTTGTAGAAGACACTGGATTTCAAAAACTTATGAGAACCATCGCTCTCGAATATAAAATTCCTTCGAGAAAAACAGACAATTTACTAGAAAAAAAATATGAAGCTACAAGTGCCCTATATGAATCGGTCATTTGAGAAACGACACATGTCACATTTTTGGCCATTTTGTTTTTATTTCAAAAATACAATATTTAAAGTTAAATTATAATTATTGTATTATACCCAAAATAGAGAAAGTTTTAAACGTGAACAAAACTATTTTTTGTTCATGTTTTGAGATTTTCACTTTTTGTTATTTTTTGAAAAATTATCTAAAAATGACATGTGCTGTTTCTTAAATGACCGATTCATATAGAGACAAAATTGCACTTTTGATTTATTACTCCCTCACAACCAATATTTGGACAGAGACCAGAAACACTAAAAGCTTTCTAGGTGTAACTCTTACATTTTTGCGAAGACATTAAGCTCTATACAGCAACCATAGCAATTGTTGAGTTAGAGCAGTGGTCGCCAACCTCTCAATGTGTTGAGCTACTTTGTTAATTTTGGAATAAACAGCGAGCTACCCACACGGAAGCCACGTAACGCAACGTAAATGAAATAATCCACAGTTAATTTATCGTTATATGTATTTAGTTTACTATTTAACTGGTAATACATAATACATAGGTACTAATAATAAACTAATAACAAAAGAACTAATATTACTAGTACGTACTTGTTCATAGCTACATTCCTACCTACCAAACGAAGGTGTTTGAAAAATAAACACAAACTTTTATCCAGCCACAACGGCATGTCACGTAAGATTTAAAAATAGTTAATAATAACAAAAAAGTAACGCACTATCATGAACATAAACATTGAAAAATAAAAAAGCACGTTCAATGAGAAGACTAACACTCAGACTCATCGATAATTTTTTTAATGTTTGCAGTATAATTTGATACAGCCATTCTACTACAATTATCCAAATGTTCATCTGTAAGTAAAATTCACACAAATAGGTTGAACTGAATAATGCTTTTACTTTCAAGGCAACACGGCATAGAACTGAATATTTGTCTTTACTTACAATAGGCCAGATACATTTGTTACTTGAGACTAACGATTTTAAGGCTAAATCATTTTGAAACTCAATTACTTCCATTTCTGTTGCAGCGATGTCTTCGCCAAAATTATGCATAACACAAGTTGCAAACTGTTGGATATCAATTTCCATAAAGGGTGAAACAACAAACTGCGCTACTAAAGCCATTTCGTTGAAATCCTTAAAACGATTTTTGAAGTTATTCTTCAGGGTAGAAACTATTTCTACATGATATTTGCTGTCATAGGGTTCTAATGGATTTTGAGATATTTTTTCTGAAAGAATAGGAAAATGCTTGGCATCGCTGTTAATTAGGTTTTGTTCCCAAAACTCCAGCTTTTTGATAAATGCTTTTATATCAGAAATCATTTCCGCTAGTTCTTTGTCTCTCCCCTGAAGCTGCAAATTAAGTTCGTTTAATTTCTCTGTAATGTTCACGACAAAAACCAAAATCTCTAAGCCAGATTGAATTTTCTAGTTCCGGAGTCGGTTCATCGCGTCGTTTGAAAAATTGAACTATGCCAGATAGGACATCATTAAAACGTTTCAGCACCCGTCCTCTATTTAACCATCAGACTTCAGAGTGAAGGAGTAGGTCCCCGTATTGACAGTCAACTTCATCGGCCAAGGTTTTGAATAATCTTCTTTGCAACGCTTGAGCTCTAATCTTGTTCACAATTGTTACCGCCAGTTTCATAACGTTGTTTAGTTTCAGGAAATTTCCACATAATGCTTGCTGATGGATAATGCAGTGGTAACAGAGAAATTGCGAAAAAGTTTCATCTTTACGACATAACGCCACCAGACCCTTATCACAACCCACCATAGCTGGAGCGCCATCGGTTGTCAAGCCTACCATTTTCGATATTGGAATTTTCTCGGAAGAAATAATATTTTTTAAATGAGGAAAACAACTCCTGTCCAGTAGTGTGTCCTTTCAGTGGAATAAAATTCAAAAAATCTTCGTTAATCGTAAACTCACTAAAAACCATCCTGACGAACACGACCATCTGGGCAGTGTCAACGACATCTGTTGATTCATCCAGTTGAAGTGAAAAATAAACACAGTTATCTAAGTCAGTTCTTAACTGTAAAAAAATATCATTGCTCATTACTTCTACACGTCTCATCACTGTATTAGCAGAAAGTTGCATAGATTTTATAGCTGAAACTATCTCGTCTTTATTTCTAAAGTTGGCAAATAACGAATCAGCAGCTTCTAAAAACGCCTGTTTTATCATTTCCTCGTCTTCATAAGGTTTCTTTTTTGTTCAATTATCTGGGACACACGGTACGATGCTTCAGTTGCAGTCTTATTTTTGTCGACTGTTCTTAAAAATATTGATTGTTGTCCAATTAACTGCTTTTTTAACGGTTTCAGTTTCTCCTTTTTGGCGGCAGAATGTAGTGGGAATGTTTTTTCAAAATTAGAATGTACAGTTTTATGATGTCTCTCAATATTTCCTTTTTTAGCAACGGAGACCGAAGTATTACATAACAAACACACATTTTTATCTTTAACTTATGTAAAAAAGTATTGTACTTCCCATTCCAAATGAAAGTGGTATGTCTTTACCTTCTTACAACTGCTTGCCATAATATTATTTTTTGTGGTTCTCTACTAACCCAACCGCTGGACGTTGGTTACGCGTTCAGTTTTAAACTAAGCGCAATGTCGCCGCGCCGTGCGTATTTATCTCGTTCAAAGCAATCCTGATCGTTCTCGAACACTAACCCGCTGTTCCGGCTGGTCGGTTCTAGCCGATTCTAGCTTGATGGCGTCAGCGGCAGATCGCTCACCGCAACGTTGCCGCTGTTTATGTTTAATATTATGACAATTAGATTTTTTTGTGGAATTTTCGGAAGCTTCTCTGATTTCTGCAGTTTGTATTTTTTAAATTAAAATCGTTGTGAGAGCTATCAGAATGGCCTCCGCGAGCTACCGGTAGCTCGCGATCGACAGGTTGGCGACCACTGAGTTAGAGGAACGTCATACTGGAGAATATATTTCAGAAGCTTTAAACAATGTTTGTCAACAATGGGGAATTTTATCTGAACGTGTTTCAGCTGTAGTAACAGATGGGGCTGTAAATATGTGCAAGGCCATAGGACATTGCATTTGGCAAAAAGAAGCATTTACACTGCTTTGCTCATCAGTTAAATTTAGTTGCAGAAAAGTCAATAAAATCTGTAGAAGAACTGGGAATCTTAATTAGCAAAATAAAAAGCATTGTTACATTCTTCAAGCAAAGTGTGCATGCTAGCGATGAGCTTCGTAAAGCTCAAAAGGAAGAAAATGAATTTAAAAATCTTAAGCAGGAGGTGCCGACGAGGTGGAATTCTACATATATCATGATAGAAAGGTTTTTGAGTTAAAAGATAACATAAATAATTTACTGAATAAGCATATTTCTGCTCCTTTAATGGTCATAGCGCTGGAAATTAAAGAATTAGAGTGGATCAAACATATATTACATCCATTATTATTAGCCACAAATGAAATTTCTGGCCAAAAATGCATTACTTCTAGTACCGTTATTCCAGTAATTTACAATTTAAAAGAAAATATTAATAAAGCTATCAAAACTACGGCTAATATGGAAGGACTGAGTATTGCAAGAGCTTTAAAAACTGCATTATTAAAAGAAATAGATAAGCGTTTTGGCTCAGCTGAAGTTCATACCCTAGCAATGGCTACTGTGTTAGACCCAAGGTTTAAAAAAATTTATTTCCTAGACCCAAGATGCTGCGCAAAAGCTATCGAGTTCGTTAATGCAGAGATATTCGATATTACATTTGATCTGGTTACAAGCAAGAATGGGTGAACCTACCACTAGTACAAGCGGTAAATACAAATTTTTGTTTTTCCTAATAAATGAAAAATGATTTATTTTTGTTTGCTATATATAGACTCCGAAATGAGTGTTAATCTGTGGGCCCACCATGAAAGATTGGTGGCACAAACAGCAATGGAGTATGATGTGCATTTAAGCGAAATATGACTCTCTATTTGCGATCACCATTGATACCATTAAATACAAACCCATTGTAGTGGTGGAAAACTCACAAAAACACTTATCCAAAACTATCAAAAGTCGCTAATAAATATTTATCGACAGTGGCTACTTCTGTTCCTGCAGAAAGGTTGTTTTCTAAGGCTGGACAGACGATTACGGACCGCAGAAATAGGATTTCTGGCAAGAAATTAAACAAAATTTTATTTATGCAGTCTATAGATGAAGTTTATTGGCAAAATATTTAAGTTTTATAATTTTATTTCTAAAATTAAATAACTTTTAGTTTGTAAGCTTTAAACATGTTCATAGTTTGTGATTAATAAATAATTTTTTCTTGATTTTTTAAATTTACATTCGCTATTTCAATATTTTTCAGTTACCAGCATCGAACATCGATGTTTGACAAACATCGATGTTTTGTAGTCGATATTTTCATACCATTGATGTTGGCTTATGATGTTAACATCGATGGCCAACATCGATGTTTCGTATCGATGTCGCATCACTACTTCCGCTTGATCCTCCACCAATATTTATATACAAATTTAAAAGTATGGCGAAGGTCGTAGAATGTTCACCAATTATCCTGTTCTTTCTCGAATAGCCATCGAAAGCTCCTCCGCCATAGTCGTCACATATGTTTGGTCTTAAGGGGTTTAATTATGCATGATAATCGGACAAGTTGAGCCTCAAAGGCCAAATAAGACAGAGAGACACTTGGATGATTAGAGCATGACTGAATAATGAAACGGCTCACATTACATTATGCTTATTTATTAATTTTTCTTCTTTGGAGCAGCCTTCACGAGTCCATCATCTTTTCTTTTGTTTGTCTCTATCTTTCTTCACAGCCTTGGTTTCATCTTTCTCACTCAGTGCATTTTTTTTTTTCATAAGGAACACTTTCGTCGGTATCAGTAGATCTGATTCAAATTCAAAGGTAGGGTATCTTCCCAAAAAATTCGGTAAAGATGCCCCAGTGAAATATCCGAAATTCTTGCAGTACAGCCCTAAACACACTACAATACAAAAAAATATCGGTACATTTATCCTTATGTGTTTCGCATGACAAATAATTTTTCAAACACGTATCGTAAATAACTTCTTTAGTAAAAACAAAAATGTATTAAAGACGCGTGTCATCCTACCCAGAGACTTACCCTACTCAACCCTTTCTAACTTTATTTTTCTTAATTTTAAATCATTTAGATATAATATAGTCTCCCAATAAAATATGTGTCCCGCATGGCCAAATTGACTTGGCTGAAAGTGAAATAAAAATAACTTAATGTTAGCCACGGCCGGCGATATTTTTATATATTAAGTACAAGTTAAAATAAACAAATAGGCAAATTATGACGCAAATAAATTCTATTAAGAACTGATTGGTTTATTAATATAAAATGCGAAAAAATTTAAATATGAATGTTAAATTGTCATAAAAATGTAATTTTCACTCAATTTCTCGTTTTAACAGATCTTGCGGGACACAAATATTTATGAGAAGACCCCTTAGAATATTTTGTTTGTTTTAGACAATTTATTCCAACACGTCTTCGCATTGATGTTAATTTTGAGGAATTTGGTTACAAAAAGAAAGATCAGACTCCTGAATCGTCAAAAAGAATGCGAACAGATTGAGAAAAAAAAATGATGAAGACTCTCTAAAAATATTTTGATCAATTTCAAATTCAAAATTGTTATTGTTACCATTGTTTTTTTTATAAAATATTGTTGATTAAAATTGTTGAATAAAATTATATAAAAAATAAAAACGTTTCATTTAATTTTTCAATACAAATACGAAATAAAATGTATCATAATTTAATAGGGAACTCCAAATATACAGCTTTCAGAAAAATAGATTTAGATGTTTTTTTAATGTTAGGGAGTGGACAATAAAATGGAAACGAACATGTTATTATTATTGTATTGACCGTAGTTATGGGCTTAGTGGATAAACAATACTGGACTTAATCGTTTCAGTTATCACGAATTTGCAAAAAATGGACTTAGTGGATTTTCCATATAAACCCACGATATAAAAAATTATGTATACTGTTGCTTCGTAAATAAGCTGAACAAAACAAGTATATAAAAGCTAATAAAAAAAATGTTTAGGAAAAAAGAAAATTTGACAAGACTGTTATGTTAATACACTTCGACCTAAAAGATCTATTGTGCCCCCTTCTGTCGCTAATGCAACAAGAAAATATCTCGATGCATATAAGGGCCCTTCCAATCCTATTTTCTCAAGGAAGATGTTACGGGTTTAAACTAATTAGTGTATTTATTTGATACACCATAGTTGCTATTATAATTTACTGCCTTCATAATGATTATTAGAAGCGATAATTAAAAATGCATCACTTACTTCTCATATAATAAAACACAATAGCAGCCAATTAAATAGTTAATATAAAAGTCCATTATTTTATTTGTTTATATTCCAAATCATTTCTTTCTATTTTTTCTATTACTTCTTCTTCTCATACCTTTCTTCGGTTAGGCCTCTACTGACAAGCCTGTTTAGATCACCAACTAATTCTTCTTTTAGTTAAGGTCTGTTTCAGTAGTGACAAATATTCAAAATGACAGGGATACCATCACTGGCCAGTGGTCAGCCTGGTTGTCCTTCAAGCTTCTGGTCATTCTGCTTTTGGGTTAGCAACTTGTAGCATGTGCTATTATTTCCGTCCTCTACTTCGGATTTTTGCACTCAACAAAGCAAATGAATCATCTCTCTAAGGAAAGAAATTATATTCAGAAGTCTGAAATCACATTCTGTGGATTATTAAATCTATTTCCTTACCTATTTACATTATTTTAAAGGTTTCTGTCATCCATTTTGTTTTGTCTAAGGCTTTTATTTATACTTTCTGTTCTCTCTTGTAGGCCACCTTATCTTGGGCTGGTATTTGTTACCTAAAAATTGGTTATATACTGTTTTACATTGGACTAAGTTAATCTAAGACAGACCTGCTTACCTAATCGTTTAATCGCTGCTACTGCATTGGTTTCATAAGGTACATTCACCTCAGGGTATATGTTATCACCACCATTCTGCATGGACCACTGGGACACAAGTAAGACCGTTCCTATTTAACTTAGACTGCTTATACTCTCTTCGCTCTTCATTTTTCGCACTTTATTCTACACTCTTCGGTTACCTAACTTGAGGCTTTGGGCTTTGCTTTATTACCAAGGAAGTACCACTATTGTGCTCCGAACGCTTTGCATGTCACATACTATTATTTTATTTTCTATAATTAAAAAGGCTGCTATTCTTAATTAGATGCATGTGTATCATTGATAAAAGCTGTAAACGATTGGTACCAATTGGAATAATAATAATAATAATAATAATAATAATAATAATAATAATAATAATATTGTGCATGAATTTTAATGCATTTCTTTATATTTAAAGTGCTTTAATTGCTGTAAATTCACAGTAACCGAAATTAAACCACCACAGTTTCCTGGAATACTGCTTATTATTGTCATTCCACGACCCTCTCTCCGACGTTAATTTAAAGTTCAGAACTAGTCGAGGTACAACTGTTAGGAGCAATAATACACTCAGCACAACCTCCTAACAAAGTGTAGGATTTGGAGTGGCTTCAATTTAGGTAAATTTGCCTCTTCTATTTGATATGCTCCTAGGTATAGTATAAGATGGTTTCTTACCTCAAATATCACTGGAAGGAACATGCTCATCTGCAAACAAGCACTACTCACCCTGAACAGACCACGAATTTATTCAGGGTTAGTACTAGAATGTCATGAAGCTTTGGCCGAAGTATCCAATCAACAATGTGGTCACCTTAAGATGGATCAAAGGTCACGCCACATCGAAAGGTAACCGGCTTGCCGATTCACTAGCCAAGAAAGCAGCCAACCAAACATTTTTTGGACCTGCCCCTTCTATTGGCCTGACAAAATCGGTAGTGACACACCTAAATAAAGAACATTCCCTTGTGAAATTCAAGGAAAGATGGGATGAAACAAGAAACTGCAGAGTTGCCAGGGAGCTCTTAAGTTATCCTGACAAAACTGCAGCAAACAAATACTTGACTATGACTAGACAGAATCTGTGTCTGGTCACAGGCATTCTGACTGGTCATTGCCAAGTACGGAAGCATCTCCATATCATGGGGTTGTCAGAATCCGCACTCTGAAGAGGGTGCGAACAAGAAGATGAGACCATCGACAAGCTGTATACAATTCTATGGAAATATTGAGGAAAACAAATATTTGTTAAAAGTAATTCATTCTTCAGAAAAATATATGAAAAACCAAACTAAATAAGATGTGTTGTTTATTGTGGTTTTTGTTTTATTTTTTTTTTATATTGTAAAATGATATTTTAATTTTTCATATTTCTTGGTTAAATAAACGCAACCTTTTTTGATGTATAAGTTTTTTATTTACTTAGGTTTAATTAAAATTCATATTGTCCTGGTTTCAGTTTAGAAAAAAAAAATGGTCACCTCAATTAACGTGTGGCCCTCAAGGGCGGATTTACGGGGGAAGGGATTTACCCCATGATTATAATTTATATAAAACTTATAAAACATGATATAAAATTGTTATATAGTATTTTTAATACAAATACCGATGCATGTCATAAATCATTTATGAAGTCACAGCCTTGCAGTGTTGTCTAATCATTAGAATAGTCGAGGAATTTAGAAAGTATTGAAATTGTAAGGTTATGTTTTCTTTTTGTTATGTTACTAGAAACTATTAGTTTTAATAGTTATTTGTATGCTTAGGCCGCGAAATACCTTTTTAACGTACCGAAA